CCCCCCCCCCCCCCTCCTTTTTTGTGCTACTGTTACAGTGTTACTGTCTCCTAAATCAAGCATTTCCATCTGTCTGCTGGATTGTACTTGGCGGGCAGTGTCGAAGCACCCTACCTCTTAAACCATTTCATTGCGTCATCGGGGGGCTTGAAATAGTTACAGCTAAAATTTATTTGGCACCTGTCAGTGATAAAGCTGTATTCTGGATGAGACAGAGAATGTACGCGATCGCTATTTAACCAATAAGTTGTAAGACGATAGGTGTTTGATAGGAAATTACAAGCAAACCGCAAGGAGTACCCGCCAACCACCCATTATTATTTTTGCAGAACAAATACAAATTATTATTATGAACGTTCATGTTTCTCACAGGTATAATTTCATCATAAATCATCTTTCTGACTACCTTAGCTTACAAGTATAAGGTAATAATGATTATAATTATCCGCTACTCACTCACAGATCATGATTTCTATAAACGTAACGACGCAACGATCACAGACTGACAAATGTCCACATGTGAGAGTGTTGGTAGATCAAACAGTTAATAAATGGTCGCGTTTAAGCACAAGGGGGCTATCCCCAAAAAAGATGTTTTGAGAAAATTGAAGATAAAGTTTTTGCCCTTTGTTTAGTTTTTTTTGAAAGTCAAGGAGAGATTTCTCAATAACCAAACAATTAATATACACACCAATGAAATCAAACTTCTCCTACAGGTATGGCAATGTCCACTTTTGGTGTAAGTCAAGATTTCTGGAAACCTCCGAAATCTGGGTTGGCCCGCTTGTCCTTAAAAGCGACCAAATAGTGTAAACTAAGTATTAACGATAAGTGATATCTTGCTGAGCCCATAGTCTTCAGTATACTCACCATATTATCACGGAGATCTCAGCTACGAGATATGGTTTGACATGATGGTGAAAAACAAAGATTTTAATAGCAAAATCGGCGGGACATAGAAATCATTTCGTTATGTTCGAATTTCGTTATGTACGTGTTTTAAAGAATTTACAAAAATTAGCACCAAAAAAATCGGCACTTGAAAATTTGATAACTACGTCACAGTACTTGCGTGTTTCGCTATGAGAATGTTGGCTGTGTGCGCGATAAGCTACTTTTGAGTTTCTTCTAGTATTAAGTCTATACAGATGTCTTGTTATATCTGCAATGCCTTGTCATATCTTTTTTTTTTAAGAAAAGAAAATCGTTTTAAAAAATATATAGACAAAAACTGTGGTAAAATAACTGCGCCGAAAAGATTGATTTACAAAACCCCCGGATGATTTCAAGTTCCTTAAACCAAACGGTCAACTTCAATTAAATCAATCCTAAATACATAAACGTCAAACTTACGGCGAGCACATACCGGGTATTTATTTACGTATGTTATTTGTTGTTTGCACCGTATAGTAGCAACAGACGACAGTGTAGGAGTTTATTTTGTGCGTCTACATTTTTGTTATAAATAATGATAGACATCTTTCCATCACACCGTGTATAACATGTATAGTAAAATTATTGTATTGGTCTATGTTAATTAAGTTAAAGATTGATGAAATTTGATGGTAGCCACTTTTCGATAGCGTGTGTGTTATATTTGTCTACATTTTGTTATAAAATGATAGTAGACGGCGTTAATTCATACAAGGTAATTAAATACATTTACGTTATTCATACAAGGTAATTAAATACATGAAGTGTTCATGTTGTATTGGTCTACGCTTATTTCATGTTGATGGAAGGCACTGGTCCATCACAACAGACAATACAATAGGTGGTGGTTTTTGCTGTATTGGTGTATGTTCTTCGTCACATAATGATGGTAGCCATTGTAATGTCACAACAGATAACGTGTTTACGTTCTCTGTCCTATGATGATAATGCAAGAGGCTAATGAGGGTATACGAGCTGTGTATAGTTTTCATATCTTATTTATGCTTATATATTTTTGTACATTTTCACCCACTCACCCCCACCCTCCCCCCCAACGGTCTCCATTTTTGTGGGAGGGGAACACCCACCCTCCACTCCCTCCCCTCAACCGCCCCCAAACAGTCTCCATTGTTGTGGAAATGGTATTCTCCCACAGTCTCCATGGCAACGGTCTCCATGTTTGTGGGAACGCATTACTGTTCATGAATTATAATTGACACTGGTCATGAGATAGCCTCTGTGTATATTACATCAGGGTATTATTACGTCCGAGTATGAAGATTCACCAATGTCTGTTGTTGTACAAAGGTACGTCTTCTAGAAGAAAATACATGTATTGTACAGATACTCATGCTTTTTTACAGATTTCCAACCCCCGTATTCAAAAAGATGATATCAACATCATTCTGTCCTGCACATAATATATGTATACAGAGTGTATTTATTCTTCTTTGACATTACGCTTAGTAAGCGTTTTATACCCTTCTCTTAACATTAAGTACGGTAACTTCTGCTACTTTGTCAAAAACTTGTCAATACCTAGAATGTACCATGAACATAACCAACACATCAGTCATAGACTATACTGTATGCTAATGTTATACTAGCTACTCTACTCTAAGCACCCACCTTTTACATTCAACTCGTAACTCAATGTCTACACATCCTTTATGTCATGTTGCTTTTTTCAAAACAGCTGAGGGGCTTAACTTCAATTATATTGGTATATTATTTCAGAAGCGTAGAGAGGCGCTTCAAATTACAATGTATATATATCGGTACATTATTTCAGAAGAACAGAGAGACGTCAAATTACATCGATATATTTAATTTAATCATTTCAGAACAGCTTCACAGATATTCACTTTCGTAATTTTCTATAGAAAGAAACACCATTATCCCAAGCACCCAAGGGGTTTTTTTATGCACAAAAAGTTATTGAGCAAAATAGTCTGAGAAGAGAAAGCCTACTACTGTACATGACATTTTTTTTTTAGAGCCTATGATATCTGTTTGCATAATATTTGTTTGTTTTAAGATAGAAAAGCTGGCAATATTTTTAGTCCTGATTATTGTCAAAGTGAGATGACCAAATAATACAATGTGCTTGAGGATTCTTTTGATGGTACAATGCCCAGAGAACGGCTTTCAAACAGGGTGAAAAATTGTTGTTTGCGACATCTATATATATACATTATATATGTGAGGCATCGTGGTGAAATCAGGCGCTCAACAAAATAATGAAATCGAAAAACTTGGCATTTTTCTGTCCGTTTGACAATTTTTATTCTATAATTTTTTTTTTACTCAAAACCTTAAAGGTCCATTTAAAAACAAATTTCAGTGTGGTTTTCACTTTAAAAAAGTTGACTTAAGTCACAAAAATGTAAATTTGCAGTTTCTATGGACTCTCAAGCTACGGAAGTCGCCAAACTTTGGCAGCCATTTTCTTGCTAATTTTACCTTTGAAACCAGGCGACCCCCACCTCCTTCAATCGCAAATATCTCCACTTATATTCATGATAGATAAAAACATTTTTTTTACCAATAGCTCCACATGTCCAAAATATGACGTGCGCCTGATTCCACCGTGTCGTGACACATAATAGAAATAAAAAGCATTGTATTATAAATACATCAGCTAGGCACCGAGTTCAGAATCCATGCACACATTGTTCGTTCTTGTTCCTACTCATTTCTGTCTTTTTTTCTTATACATTCCATAAACTGAGCGCACCATGATGTATTTAAACCAATCATTGTACATGTACTTGTGTAATAAACTCTGAATTTTATAAACAGTGTCCTTATTTTGGCGATTTTATTACGTAGCAACATGAATGAAAGTGAAAACAAAAATCGGATGGCACCTTAAAATCCCTCATCATTTTGCTACCCTAGAATTACAAAGTTATACCTGTTCAGTGCCTGGTTTTAAGAAATTTGACGCTAAAAATTTCGAGTTCCACAACATGTCAAACTTTTTAAAATGCAGTTCCTTATGAATATCCTAATAACAACTCTGAATAATCTTACAATTTTGATAGAGCAGCTAGAATATTTGGTGTCTGACTTAGTAACTCAAATCAGCCAAAAATGTCAGATAGAACTTTGTAACGCTAAGGAAACAGTTTGTAATTTCCCATGACGACCTCTTATCATGTGTATATTTTGTTCTCGTTACTGCAAATCATGGAGTTCATCTGTGATAATAAAAACCAATGTTGGAAGAACACTTTGCAATTCACTAAAAGTTTTTTAGATTTTTAAATGTTTCCTATTTATTTTTAAAAATTCTATTTTAAGTCATAAATAGATTTTTTAATGTTTCCTATTTATTTTTAAAAATTCTATTTTAAGTCATAAATTGTAAAACTCCATGTCTAAAAACACATTATTTACTTTTTTGGTTAAAATACTGTCATAAATTTAAAACGCCTATATCTAAAAACACATTATTTACTTTTTTGGTTAAAATACTGTCATAAATTTAAAACGCCTATATCTAAAAATAGAAACACATTAAAGAC